AAATGCACATTAGAGCTCAATGCTGTTTCCAATTAAAGGGAAGGTATCAACATAACAACAGCCTCCAAATTTCTAGGCATTGCTATCCATATGTATCTAATTAAATATCAACAAACTTCAGTGGTCACAGTTCACAAAAACCAATAAAATAAACGCTTTAAAAATGGATATGGCCAAGCAAACCAGCAGTTAGATGAAAGGATGGAACAAATTATAGAACATCACCAAATTCCCAAAACTAATTCACCAAAAATTTTTTCCCTAAATTCTAGCCTTAAAATTTAAAATGTATCTTCCAATAATTCAAGAATAGACACCCAGTTATCTGCAAGTAAAACCATATTCCATGTACACAAAGCAAAATTCCTAATTTCTATATTTCAAAATTTAAAATTACTAAACTCCAAATATAATCAAGATCAAGAATAACAATGACGAAAGTAATAATTAGTGATCAGGAAACTGGAACTTAAGGGATAGCAGTGCACCATTTATTTCTTCAAAATTCAGAAAATAGAGCCATTATGACAACTGTGTACCTTCCTCTGGACGCTATCAGACATCTTCACACCGAAATTTGAAGTCCCACTGAAACTTGTCAATTTGTTATCCCAACTCTCCCTGGATTGTTCACGAGCATCCTCTCCAGGACCAGACACGTAACTCAATCGACCAGAATTTGGTGAAGCATGTGACTTTGGTGTGTTAGCTATTTTCCTTGAAGGCAAATTCCGCCTATTTTTCAAAGATGAATCACTTGGATCATGTTTGAAAGAACTGCGTTCACGAGATGTTTTTGTTTCAACCTCAGTCTTTAGCTGTGATTGATGTTTGTGGTCCAATTGGGTTGACATCAATGATGATTCTCCACGTTGGATAGACAGCAAATCACTGCTAGACTTTTCCTCTGGCCTTTCCACAGTTTGTCGGGGTCGGAGTCGAATACTGCGTTTTCGCTTTATCTTGGGTTGTAAAACCTGCTCATCTTCACCTTCATCACGATCATGAATCCAACTTCCTGACTGTTGATGATCGATGTGAGAATCTACAGATGCTGCAATCTCTCCTTCTTCTAGTTCATCAGGCTGGCCAATTTAACAGAAGGAGGATGAGAACTTAGAACATACTACCAAATCCAATATGCATCATGGAAAGACAGAGACAACATACCAGCCTTTTTGTGACTGCACCAGGCCTAGCATCCAATGCAGAGAGAGACCCAAATTTCTGGGGAGAAACTGGGGAAACTGTTTGCATTGGTCTTTGACTGTCTAGCGATGATCCTGAGGAGCCAGGTTCCTCAAGTAAGATATTTTTGCTAAGGTTCTCTGAATTCTGGATGTACTGATATCCACCATCACAAATTGGGCCATCGTCTTCTGACTGGTCTTTATTTGCAGCTGGTGCTCCAGCAGCACCACTGTATTCTTCATCTTCAGATTCTCCCTCCTCTTCATTTCCAGAAGAAGCATTTCTCTCATCAGAACTTGCTTCAGAGTACTCTCCATTGTCATCATCCATTTCTTTATAGTTAGGATGTTTTTTCCCCTTGAACCGCCCTCTTCTCTCAGTTTCCATTTCGTTAGATTGGGTGCCAATACTGGCACCAAATAAAATATTCTTTGATGGCTTTTTTGATAAAGCCGCAATAGCTGCATTTACTTCTCTTGTACTGGTTCGAAGCCAGTTAGGTACCCGTTCATGACTTGCTATCTCCTCAGTCCAATCCAACTCTTCATCCATTTGATCAAACAATTCAACTTCCTCCTTGCTTCGAGCAATCATTTGATTAACCTCATGCAGTGAGGGAACATCATGGACAGTTTCTTGATACCTCTCTTCATCATGTAATAATGTCTCTAAAGTCATTCTTCTTTCTTCATGTGTTGTTCTCTGATCAAAGCGTCCAGCATTAATGACCTCATCAGCCATGTCAATTTTATACTGTTGAATATTATTCCTTATGAGGCTCTCAATAGATCCCATATATCGATCCTTACCTGCAAAATCATCATCATAATCAACCGTGCCTCCACTCCTTAGCTCATCCTCTTTCTGATGACTGGAGATTTTATCAACAACTGCTTCCATGTAAATGACTTTGACTTCCCTTGTTTGTCCAATTCTATGGGCTCGAGCAACTGCCTGTTCTTCATTCTTGGGGTTTGGATCAGGATCATATATAATAACCGTGTCAGCAGTTTGAAGATTTAGACCCCTTCCAGCTGCACGAATACTTAGCAAGAAGATAAAACTGTCAGAATCAGGACTGTTGAAATCCACAATAGCTGATTCACGATCCTCCAAGCTAGTCGTTCCATCAATACGTCTGTACACAAGTCTCCGCCACTGCAAGTATTCCTCCAGAATATCAAGAAGCTTTGTCATGGTACTAAAGAGCAACACTCGATGACCTGTTCTCTGAAGTTTTATGAGGATTCTGTCCAGGACCCACAATTTCCCACAGGATCTTACAAGAAAATCCTTGGAAAGATCATTGAAGTATGGGTAATTCAGCAGAGGATGATTGCAAGTTTTTCGAAGCTCCATACACCTGTTATTTAAAGTTTTAAACACCTTAGGCTGGTATAATGGATTTTTTTTAACCCTTTGCTTCTCATCTTCGGGATCAACCCGCAGAGTCCCAGTGGATTTTATCCAATCATAAATGGCACCCTGGATAGCTGACATTCTGCATCTTAACACAACAGAGATCTGCAATCCAGAAAGTAATACCATATTCAGACATACAACAAAGGAACATGATCAACCTAGGACTATAATAAAAGCATACCTTGGGTGGAAGAGAACCTTCAACATCTTCAACACGACGTCTAAGCATAAATGGCTCCAAAATTTGATGTAGTCGGTGGATAATGATAACCTTCTTTTCAGTCTCAAGCCAATCATCCTCAGCATTATGAGCTGGACCTTCCTTTTGAAATGGTTGTGAGAACCAATCATGAAATGCTTTGCGGTTATCAAACACTTCAGGAAGAAGAAGATTTAAAAGTGACCACAGTTCTTTCAAATCATTCTGCAGCACAATGACAACTAATAATTCACCTCATCTCAAAGTAAACAAGTACAGCAATAGATTTAAAAGAAGAAAAAAAAAAAAAAGATAAGTGAACAGCTTATTCCAATTTCAACATCATACGTCAATATTGAGACTGCCTCAT